TGCCAAAAAGCTTTGGATCTAAAGGCTTATCAGCTGGTTTTGTTACAAACTTCATTTTGCTGAAACTTAATTTACTCATTCACTCCCACCAGAAGTAGTCTTGGGAGTCAGAAGTCTTTCTTCATGCATTTGTTTCATGAACTTTCATATACTTTAAAAGAAAGAGTGGAAATATGGGTGGGCTAGAACCATGGCCAGAGGCTTCTTACACAACATGGATTCACTACCCTGGATGGGGGACTTGTGTGAGCAACTGCGTATCAGCAATCAGCCAGACTTTAGGACCCAAGAACTCTATTCTCATGCCCCATCTAGAATACAGTGGATAACCTCACATTATATTTTTTAAGTATATTTCTAGTACTTTTCTTTGAATCCCAAGGGTGACAGAATTCTTTATTCTTCCCTTCTCTGGGGTTCAGTGACCCAGCTGAGAACCAACAGGCCCTGGGTTGTTGACACTCAGTGCTCCATTAGCCAGATACATAAGTTAACATAAAGCAGGCTTGTCCAACATATGGCCCGTGGGCCACCATGTGGCCCTCCAAGCTGTTTTCTGAGGCCCGAGGTGCTGCAACAGGAAATGAAAGTAAACAGTGTACTTTCATTTCAGGGGAGTGATGTGATACTGCTTCCTGTGGGGTCTTTGAATATGGCTCACCGGCCCACTGGATGATGAAAAGTTCATGATCCAACCCCATATTCAAAAAAGTTGGACACCCCTGACATAAAGCTTTCTTCTAGCAATGTCCTCGAGTTCTAGAAATCATAGACCAACCAAGAAAAAAAGAACATTTTACTCCTGGAAAGTATAGGGATAAATTAGCAAAAATGGAAAAGAAACAAGTCAGGGATTCAGGTGGGTATATTAAATGAGTAATGAACCACAGCAATAAATAGTAAATAATCACAAAATAGCAACCAGGCCTTTCTCAATGGGCCTTCAACATATGGTGGAGATGGAGTTTCATGAGAAAACCAAGTGTCCCTTAGCGTGCAGTAACTACTACCCATGATCTTCCTCTGGATCCTAGGACATGGGAGAGCCTACAGGACTCAACTCACAAGCATAATGGAACTGTGGGGCTCACATTTCTACATGATGGAGCTTGCTTGCTCAGTCCTTTTGGCTGAGAAACAAAATGGCATCCCCCCTTGCTAGGAAGCAACTCCTGGTCTACTTTCCCTCTAGCCACTGCAACCTATTGCCCCAGCACCCAGCTCCTTCCATAAATCCTATCTTTACTTGGGCTCCACTCAAATATTGGCCAGTTCCAGTCAGATTCAGGTTCTGTACAATCTGCATTTGATCACCTAGACTTATCAATCAGCCTCTTGCCTGATAACCCCTCCTTCCCCCAGAACCTGGTGTCTTCATTTATATGGACAAACTCCGAGAGGCACTGGCTTCCTGGGACTAGAGTCCGTCACCCCACTTCTCAGTCTCCTGCTCTTGGCCCCAATCTTAGTGTGTTTCTCAACCATAGGTCAGCAACCTCAGTTGCAGTTCCAGTCTCTGCCCGCGTGTGTCTCTCCAAAAGTGCTGTTGGGAGCTGTCTCTCTGAAACCCCAAAGAGGCAAAGAGGCTGCATTTGCAAAAAAAACAGCCTTGAAGTCATAATCAGTGTGGCCTAGGAGGGTCTGGGTGCCCAATTTCCCTTTGTGTGGTTTTCCCATAATAGGTGGGGAAAGAAGTGCATCGCTGGAAAAGGTTCTTTCTAGTCCTTCAATCCCCAGCCCAAAAGAGCTTTCCTAAACAACTCACTGTTTGCATGTGTTACATACACAGCTTCTAACTGGCATTTTTGTTTTGTCTTTCCACCACTTCTCCCAGCTCTTCAGCTAATAAGCGAGCTTAGGTATATAAAGCAGGATCCTGTTCTGGCTTCCAGCAATACTAATCACTTTTGATTCATGAATATTTGAGGCAGAATCATATACTGCTGATGGGGCTCTTGTTTCAAGAAGTAAAGGGGTTAAATTGGCCCCAGATCTTTAAAGATTGATTAATAGCTCATTTATGGAACATTAAACTGCAAGCACTGATTTTTATATATAAAGGTATTCAAAAGTTAGCACTAATGAGTTGCAATGAAATATGAAAAGTTTAAATTAGTCTACTATAAGCCACTATGCCCACACTTGGTTTAATGAAATAATGCTTTTTTTCTAGTCTCTTTTTCATCATTAAAGTGCAGAAATTTTAAACTCCCATAATAATATTCCCATTTTTTTAACAAACTCAAAATATTTTACTCATAATTGTGCACGGCCTTTAATCGCTATGGCTTTCCTAAGAACAAGGAAATGGTAAGATTTAGCCTAGATAGCTGGTTTTAATTTAACGTAATTGTTTGTGTTTCATGGAGAAATCTATGCCTCAGCCTGACTGTGATTTTTGGAAAGCCAGAAACAAAGAAAGAAGAAAGCCAAAATGCTGCTTGGTCATACATATCTTCATCTGGAACTAACCAAATTAGTACTGTAAATTCAATACATATTTAAGCTAAAGTGCACTGCAGATATTCCCACCATTATTTTAGGACCATCTGGGTTAGTGCTGTCTCTGATACAATGCCAGTATATAAATGATTGCACAATAATTTCCTTAATAGGCATCTTCATTATGGGCCAGATTCTGATATCCTTATGTCTGTCAAGTTGTGCCTTACTCTATGAGTAGTCCCATTGTCGTCAATAATGGTATTATTCAGTTAAGGTACTATTTAGTAATAGTAAGGCTGACAGATCTGGCCCTTAATCAGCTCTTCAGGGTAATATCTGCCTCTGCAGGTATGAACAATATAATAACTGAGACGGAGAATATATAAGACCAATCTAACAAGGTGCCAAATACCATCAATTCCCTTTGTCTTGAATAGGAGTTTTGGATGTTCACTAGCTCACAAAAGCAGCTCATTCTCTTGCAGAACTAAGCTCTAAATGATGCACAGTCTTAAACACCATGTGGCTCCAAGTCCTAAAAGCTATGGCCTACTTCCATGGGATTCATATGTTATTATGAAGCAAAGCAAAACAATGAATGTAGTTTTAGGCAGTGTTTACTTTTCATATAAATTACACTTGTGTCTGTAGTTTATCTAACTATCTCCAAGGGCAAATGGCTCCATTCATTAATTTCTTTTTGTGCTATGCAATTTCAAACAAACCTTATATTCAGAATCAATGTTTGTCCTTTTAGCAACCATTTTTACTACATGTAGAGCACGATTATGGCTCCTGTGTTCTTACCTAGACAGAAAGACTTGCCATATTGCTCAAGTTCTCATGAAATGTCCTCTAACATTGAAACACTTGTACCAAGTTGCAGCCGGATCCCCTACTGTATTTTACAAGCCATGCATATGGTCTCCTCTACCCATACACACTCAAGGAAAAAGTAAATGTAATAGTCTCTTGCATATCAGAATATATAACTGGTGCCACACAGCCTTATCCACATATCAGAGTATATTTTCTCAGATATTTTCTTTTACCCCAAATATTTCTATTTCCTTGAAAACTTTAGTCCAAAAAGACTATAGGTATGAAAATAAAAAATAAGGATGTCTGAGTAGATCATCATTATGATCCTCCTCTAGCCTTAATATCTATCCAGGTTATAATGAAAAAACACAGATGGAAAGTGCAGAAGCAGTTTCCTATCATGCATTAAGTATGCTCATCGGGTATATCCCAGCAGGAAAGTCCCAGGTCAAAGTAATAATTCCTCTTGACCCCTACCACGTGTCTCAAGTGAACCAACAGCATCTCATATTTGACATTGTCTAATGCTGCCAAAAGGGGATGAGAAAGGAGGTCTGTTTGCTATGCACAGACAGGAGAAAAACATCCATCATCGTCACTTAAGCAGTTCCAGTTTCATGACCTGGCCTGAATCCTCCTTTGCTTAGCTTCAATTAGATGAATATTGGTTGACCCTTGGCTATGTTTCTATGGGTTTGCTTAGAAATGGGAGGTTTGACATTGGTTAGAAGCTGGCTAGAACCACTGTGCAGGGTCCTTTAATGCATGTTTGAGAGAGGAAGTGAAGATTCCTTCTCTGAATCAGATGCTGACTATTTGAATCAGAACTAGAACCAGTTACTCTTGATTTTCTTGGACAAGCTAAGATACGCACAGGTTGAATTCACAAGTCTTGGGTCAAGATTACCCTTGAGTGTCCAGAATTCTTGGTCAGTGAATGCACTAAAGTTTAGGAATGCAAGTGAGCAGTTTGTCTGTGGGTGTAGTAGAGCAAAAGCAGAGTAAAATTAATGTTGAGCACTTAGGAAAGCATTCCGCTTGATGCTAAAGGCTCTTAATCTAGCATCTTGCAAGGTTTTTCAATAGATATGTGCTTTTATTTCAGAACTACACCTCCAGTAATGCTTGTACTTCATCTCTTAGCTATATACGTGCACTTAACTCACAAAATCACAGTAGCCATTACTTAAAGCAATGAGTAACATAGTATATCCCTGTCTTGTATCATAAGGAAGTGAAAATTATCTTATTAACAGAGTAAAAATAAAAAGCTGGGGGAATTAATTTCAATATTTCCTTAGGTCTAATCCAGACACAACTGAAGTTAACAGAACATTTTCTATTAACTTCATTAAGTATGTCAGTCAATTTATTTTCAAAACAGGAAAAAGAAGTATAATTCATATAAAAAGCAAAACAATCTAAAAATTCTAAGCATTCTAAAAATGCAAAGATACTTTCCAAAACAACCTCATAGTAAACTCTACTGTTACTAACTATAGCAGCTCAAAACCTGCATAGCCATTTTGCAAACTTTACCACCTCCACATTCCCCTTTAATTAAGGCTTCTTCTACCACAAACTATAGGCTCATTTTATCCAGAATTTTTTTATATGCAAAATAGTCTAGATGTATTTTATACAGAGGTTTTTGCTTCACTGCCTTGTCTGTCTTATTAGTTCTCCAATTATTTTACAGTTCATCATGCAATATAAATATAGGCCAATCTTACCTTCTAAACGTTCCACATAGCAATATACATCATAAGTTTCATTAGGAAGACGGAATCCATATGTCCTGACTCCTGCCATTCCCATTTTATCTCCAAAGCAGCCAATTCTGGGTTGCCTAATTGGGTATCTGAAATACAGTATGTTAGTTTTTATTGTTACAGTAAGGTAGCATTTCAAGTACGAACAAGTCAAGTTTATCACTTTTGGGGACCCTGGTCAAGAGGCAAATTGAACATCTCACCTAACTGTTTGGTCAGACACCCAGCCAGCATCACATTGCTCAAATCCATCTTCGTATGCAGCTTTCAGTTGTTCAGGGGTTGCTATGACAGCACCGTTGTCCAGACAAGCCTCCTGAGCTTGCTTAAAACTCAGAGTATATCTACTACTTGCTGCGCGATAGTGAAATACAACACCTGCAAAGACAAAAATTCATGTTACTAACACAAGTTATGCTACATTTGCTATATTCGTTTTACAGAAAATAAGTAATACAATAATAATGAAAACAGACAAAGGGGACTCTTTCCTGGTATAATAATAGAATGTTGGGACAAGATATCTCGTAGTACATAAGGTCATGTCTCCCTCTAGTGCTGTTGCTATCAAAGACTGCATAACACTCTTATACTAATCAAAACTGGGGAAATTATTTTAGCCCTGGGGTACAAAAGGCATCAGGTTTTACCAATGGCTATGGCATCTGCCTCTGTGTAACATTAGTTACAAATAAACTAGTTTAATATCTATATTTTATTTTGCATACTACAAAATATTACAGGCTACACAGGTTTTGCTGGGGGTTTTTGGGACTTGGGGATTTCCGGCTCTGCTATTGGACAGAATCTAAAAATAAAAAAACACTACCGAAAAACTTCAGAATTTTAGTAGAATAGTTCTAATTAGGAGCCAAATGTTATTCTTGGCTACACAAGAATATCTGAAATTTGTCCTAAAAGTGCACTACCATTTAGAAGGCCTAAAACATATTTTCCACTCCACAGTTCCCTGTTCCCACTGTCTTTACAGTTAAACGGTAGTGCATGACTCATGATGATCTTTGAAAAGTAGTATTCAGTAAAACTTCCTCCTGATCACTGGGGTATGCATTACAAATTACTAAATGTTTTAAATTAGCAAATGCACATTTAGATGCAACCCAACAGCAGAATAAATCATACAATGTGCTTTGTATTTTGACAATTTTATTTTATCATATTTCATAATGTGCTAGCTCATTTCTTCCAGTATATTTTGGAGAAATTATTGATTTTAAGTAATGTGAGATCGCCCTATACCTCTTTGCTAATACATTTTGCTGAAAGAGGGGAAGTCTACTGTGATATATATTAATTTTAAAGCAAATGGATTAGCAATGTTAAAATTAAAGAAGTTCTACCATATTTAGAACCGATTTATTCTATAAAACCAGATTCAGACCCCATAGTATTTCACTGTTCTATATGAAATTATAATAAGTATGTTTTATTAAGAAAGCTTCCTAACAGAAATAAAAGAAATCTGTGTAAAACACACTAATCCTTTCCTTATCTGTCAGATTGATGTCACAGAAAGAATATAGTCAGGAGTTGGTTTCAGTTTCACTGGACACGTAGAATAACTCCACAGAGCAGGACTTCCATGGAGTTACTTCAGATATCTTCAGTTCTGAACCATGCTACAATTGGCATAACACCTAAGGTGGATTTACCCTGACCCACTTTCTGCACTGGGGGAGGCTAAAGAAGATGGCACCAAGCCACATACACAGCTTTATGCCACCTAGAAATTCCCCCATCCTAAAACATCTATTGCTGTCCCATTATTGGCTAGAGACAAATGTTACACATAAACTGGTGTAAGCGACCAGAAATTGGTTTAAATATGTAACAGAACATAAGTTGTGTGCACATAAACCAGTTTCAAAATGGCCGAAACTAATTTAAGATAAACCTGCTCTGTAGCTGGAGCTGGGTAGGGGTGCGGCCAGATGCAGGCCAGGCAGGGCCCCTGACGGAAAGGGAGCAGGGAGGGGGTGCGTTCCTCCTACTCCCACTGTGGGACCACAGCCAGGGTCTGCCTGGCTGGGGTGTAGCAGCCCCTGTCGGGCATTCCCCCTCTCGCTGCTCGAGCGGTGGCAGGGAGGTGTGCCCAGCCCCATCCACAGCCTGAAGCAAATGGGGAGAGAGAGATTTAATCTCCCCCTCCATCCTCTGTCCCCCCAGCAGCTGGGGTCTGCCTGGCTGGGCCCTGTTAGGCATCCCCCCCCCACTCCATCAGTGGGTGTGGCCAGAGTCTGCCTCATCTGTGGCTATGGGGCTAAGCTGGGCCAGCCCGTGGGCACTGCTGAGAGTGAACACAGAGGGGCCAGCTGGGCCACAGGGTCAGGCCCTTCTCAGTGGGCTGCAGCTTGCACTGGTGCCATGGGAACCGCACAGCCAGATTGGGCGGGGCTGTCATGGAGCTGAAGCCAGCTGAGAAGGGTCCAACCAGGCCATGGGGGCAGGGCCCTTCCCAGCCAGCTGTGGCTCTGTGACAGCTGGGTCCAGCTGTTGGCTGGGCACCTGCTGGCTGTGCAACAGGCTGCCCGAGTTGGCTTGCAGGCACTGGCGGGCCCAGAACCCAGCAGCCACTGTTGACCCACAGTTCTGTGCAGCACCCGGTGGCTAGAGCTGCACCACAGGCTGTGCACTGGTCGGGGTCAGCAGGGCTTTTCTGCCTCCCTCGTCTCCAGCTGCCACTGCTGCCCCTACCCCTGCCATGCCACTCTGGGTGGGCAGGCGGGAAGCTTCAGCCTGGTGGCTTCTGCGGCACCATGCAGCTCCAGGCAAGTGGAAGCTTCAGCCCGGCAGCTTCTGCCCAGCACGTGGAGATCCATCACCAGAATGGCAGAGCTGTTCTGCTCCCCTCACCTCCAGCTGAAGCTTCCACCCACCCAGAGCTGCTCAGGATGGCAGGAGCCACAGGTGGAGGTGAGGGGAGCAGAACAGCCCTGCCGGCCTCAGCCAGCACACAGCTTTCCCTGGCCTCCAGTGACTCCTCCTCCTCCTCCCACTCCTGCCCCTGCTGCACCACTCCAGGTGGCAGTGAAGGGAGAAGCTTCAGCCCAGAGGCTTCTACCCAGAGCACGGAGATCCAGCTCCAGCTGCCTTCCGCCTGCCTAATGCAATGAGCAGCCCCTGTGGATGGGAAGGAGAGGGTGGAAGGCAGCCAAGAGCTAGAGCCAGAGCTCCATGCACTAGGCAGAAGCTCCCAGGCTGAAGTTTCTTCTCTCCCCACACCACCGCTGCCTGGAGTAGTGCAGCAGGCACAAGAGTGGGAGAAGGAGGAGCCACTGGGGGCAAGGGAAAGCTGCATGCTGGCTGGGGCCAACAGGGCTGTTCTGCTCCCCTCACCTCCAGTTGCTGCTCCTGCCATGCCTCACCTGCTCACAGTGGCACCAGAAGCTCGGAGCAGGCTGCCGTGGGCCAGGGGAATGGGCAGTGGTAGGAGAAGGCAATGGACCATTGAAACCCAGTCCAGCCTGGCCCCATGGCCCAGGGCATGAACAGCAACTAGGCTGTGGCAGCCTGCTCTGAGCACACAGCACCGTCACAAGCAGGTGGCAGGTGACAGATGCTTCACCTCTGCCCGCCGCAATGGCTCATTTTGTCTCTGCCACCATTGCCAGGAAAGGGAGGGGGCAGGGAGTTGCACTCCAGTTGCAGTCCGCCTGCAAAACACGGTCCCTGCACAGGCCTGGAAGCAGAAGGTGGTGGGTACTGACCCCCACCCCCTAGAGCTGCCCCAGTCCAGGCCATGCTGCTGCAGCAGGGGGCAATAGTGAGTCAGGCTCTGAGATTAGCCCTGGCTCCTTGCCTTCCCCATATCTGCAGCCAGATCACATCCCCACTCCCCATGGCTGGCTCAATGCTCCTCCAAGGGACTTAGCTCAGGCACTGCAGCTTGGGCCCTGCCTGAGAGGATTTTCAGCATGGGATGGCACCAGTGCTGTGTCAGTGCCCACATCCCTGCTGTCTCCAATGAGAGGATTAAGCTCCACCTGCATCTCAGGCTACCAGGTTCTGGCCTCACCCCCACTCCTGCCACTGAAGCAGCTGGAGCAGTGAACGAGTGAGAAGAGGTGGGAGGGACCCCTGGCAGGGGTTGCTTCCCCCTCCAGGCACACTCCGGCTAGGGTCTCTGTAGACCAGAGTAGGGGTTTAAACCCCTCCCCAATCATACTCAGTGGCTTGCCAGGGCCTGGCCATGCCCTGCGCCTCCGCCCCCTCCCCCCCCACACCAGCTCAGCTTCCCTCCAGCCAAGGGCTTATTCTAGCACCCCCTGGCTTCTTGCCTGAGCCACTGCAGGCATGTGCCTTCATTTCTGGAATCAAAAGTGAATGCCTATTCACTGGCAAATTGGTTCAGTCTACACAGGTTAGACTAACCTGCAAAGAATTAATCAATCCAGGCTTGAGATTTTTGAATGTCTGTACATTCAAATCTTCCCCATTAGGGAAGATTTACTGATCATTTGTGTCCCCTGAGTTGTGCAAACACAGGTAGCATTTTAGTTTTGTATATCCCAGTCTCTAACCACAGGGCCAACATGCCTGCTTTCCTCTTCCAGAGGAAGTGGCATTCAGAGATCCAGTACAGAGTTCCACCTGGAAACCCATAAATAGAAATAAAGTAGCAACTAACTGGCTTTGGGATTTAGATTGATTAAGGCAGCCTACCACTGAGATTCTGAAGTTTGAGAAAGCATCCACTGCTCACTGTACAGGCTTTTCTACAAAAAGGTATGAATAGGAGAATAGATGACAGTAATGGAGCAGGTCCTCAGCTGGTATAAATTAGCACGGTCCCATTGAAGTCACTGGAATCATGCCAGTGGATACCGGCTAAGAATCTGGCCCAGTACATTCTATTGTCAGTACAATTCAGTAAAGATTTTATAAAGCCATGTTTTTAACTGTATAAACAATTTGGTACTGAGTTAATAGCTCAGTCTCAAAACACGTAAGCTCGCAAGAATCTAAAGCCGTTCATCTGGTGGTGAGGTTTGTTTCTTTTTTAATTTTTTTTAATCTTCATAAAATTTTCACTTATGTCCTAATTTAGATTCCTAACCTCTGGAAGTCTACACTGCTGATGGACTGCTGATTCAGTACAACACAATTCCATTTCAGCAAATGAACTCCTGCTGTTCAATTCAGCACACACATGAGTCTGGTAAGGCAGCAAGTGCCTGGGGTTCTGATGGTATTTTATTTGTAACTTGTTTCTTCAAATATTTTTTTTCTGTAAATGTATAAGTATATTTCCAATGACTTGCTGTCCTGCCTATGATCTTTTCCCATGTCTGTAGTAACCACTTATTTTTTCAGTTGCTAATCCTTCTGACATCTAAATAAGGCAGAACTAAAGCGTT